CTCTTAAAATAGAACCATATCCCTTGTGGAGTCTGAAAGTCTTGCCGTAGGTTTCAGAGAGCAAGAATTTTATTTTCCAAGATTCTTTCTTGAAGAAATTAGTACAGCTTCTTTGGAAAAAGGGATGTTATGATAATTTTGTTAACATGAAAAATATTAACAGCTGGCAGCCATAGCCCAGCCCAAAGGCACTGTTTGAGGACCAAGAGCTTGAAAATTTCTGCTAAAGTTGAGGGGTGAGGGAACTTAACGAACACTTTGCTTCTGCAGTATTTTTCATATTTACATGTGAGTTTGGGGGAAACAGCTGGTTGGTAATGTGCTGGCCTTGGTGGAAATGGTTTGGGAGTGCAGCTGGTGGTGTCTAGGAGGGGCTGGCTGACATGCTGCTTCCAGCTGTTGGCACTGTCACCAAATAAAGAGCAAAGTCACCATTGTCTATAAAGAATAGGAGATATCAAGTTGATGGGGGAGTATAGGTTTGTTTCTTGTGACTTTCCCTTGGGTCTGATGTCAGCTAGAATACTGAATGTCTCTGCTAAAAAAGCAGGTTTAGAAAGATTGTTAATTTCTGGAGAAGAAAATAATATGTAAGGAGTTTTATGCTTAGTTGTGTTTTCTACTAAGTTGCTCCAAGTAAAAAAAAAAAGGACAGAAATTATGGTCATTGTATTAATCTGCGTTTTAACATCTATTTTCATTTTAGGGATAAAACTGAAGAATTAATGGAATTAACGGATGAGCAGAGAAATGAACTGATGAAAAAAGAGAGCAGCAGACTCCAGAAAACTGGACACCGAGTAACCTACTCTCCTCGTAAAGAAAAAGCACTAAAAATTTATCTGGATGGAGCACCAAATAAAGATTTGACTCAAGACTGATACTCACTATAGCATTTTCCCTGGGGAATTTTTTTTGTTTAAAATAAAAAGGTTCACTACTACTGTGTAGTGCCATTACGGCAGGACACTCATTAGGTGTAAAGCGCTGACACCAGCACTGATTGGGCTGAGTTCCCAGTCAGAAGCGCAGTGCCCCGTTGGGTCACTGTTTGACTTGGAATCATGTTGTGCACTATAGTCAAATGTACTGTAAAGCTAAAAGGGATGTGCAAATAAAAGATTAGAACTAAAAAGTGGGTGGGGAGGGAAACGAGTGGAAATTTTTGAGGACAGTGTGCACATAGTAGCTAGTGAAACTAGCCTCCAACAGGATACTCATAGCTTAATAATAAAAGCTGTGCAAAGGCCATGAAAGAATCCTTTTTTCTGTTTGTTTCACTGATACACGCATTACCTCATCAGAGAGTCTGAAGTAAATGTTAACACATTGGTTCTAGAAAAGCAGCAGCAAAGGGTCGAAGATGAAATGGAAGTGCTGCAAGTCTGAGGTTTTAAAAATATTCTTCCATAAAACAGGTAGGCTGAGAGGTGTCTGCAGGAAGCCAGCAGGTGTTGGTTCATTTTGCAGAAGTGCTGTCGTCAGGTAAACTGGTTTTTAATAGGTTACGGAAGCCGATGAGCAGCTCTATTATATTGTGTTCAATGTGTAAATAAAATTTGCTCTATCCATTCAACAGAACTGCAGTTCGGGTATTTACCATGGTATTTCTTTTCACATATCAGCATTCATTGTGTACTTTTGGAAGTATAGTTGCCTATTTAAATTTGTATTCATTTTATGTTTGACGATGCTGGGTACTTTAGGGTTGTATTTCCCCTCGTTAATGAAGTTTTTGTTCTGTTCGGCTACCTTTTGTACGTTTTGTTTTTGAGACTATTACAAGTTTGCATCTTCTCCACCCACTGAAAGTAATTTTATTTTTCCCAGAGTTGATTCCGTAGCTATATGTAGTCAAATATTGGGGCAACATCTAACACCTCAACATAAAAACTTGTTAGTTCAGGTTGTGGTGCAAAGACTGATGCGGTCAATGTGATTTCATTGCAAAGCCTAGGAACAGCAATTTTTTGCTTTGGTCCATAAAGATCAATAGAGAACAATTCTCCGTAGTTTTTGGAAAACCACCTAATTTATAACAATCAAAAGATTTTGGTAAACTTTTTCATGCCAGATGCTGTTTACAACAATGAACATGCCAATAAAATATTTGTTCATTCTGTTGTGTTATTTTAATCATTAAATGCTGTGGTTTTTATTTGAAAAATTGCAGAATTATTTCATGGAAATGCAGACTTTTCCAAGGCAATGTCAGAACTGTAAGGCTGTGTATAGATGCGTGTATGTGCACACACACACACACCCCCCATACGCTTGTACACTATTGCAGGAAGTGTTTTGTAGCCTGTCTGCTGCTCCTCTTTACTTATAGTTTAAGAAAAAGTTGGTATGAATATAAGTTTCCTTTTCCAGAATTGAATTCCTCACCAGTGACACTTCTAAGCTTCAGGTGCAATTGACAGGTAAATTCTGCTTCAGAGAGAAAAGAGGATTTTGAATAACTGAATATTCAGTTCTTCCTTGCATGCTGACCCCCAGCAACCTAAAAATCCTGAGGAATCTGGCAGCTTGAGAACCAGGCACTCATTCTTCCTCTGCTGTTTGACCTGTGCCACCCCTTGTCCAACAGAAATGAGGTGGAAGCAGGAGCAAAGGAGAGGCATAGAGTGAGTACCACCTAGTAGGTAGAGTAGTTCATTAAACTACCATTTACATAGGTATATAGACTGATGAAGGATCCTTGGAGGATTTGGAAAAGAAAAAAAATAACTATCAAGTGAAGAAAATGAACTGTATCCTAGCAAAGCCAGGAGAGTAATGAATTTTCTTCAAACTTGGTCATTTGGAGAGGCAAAAATCTAGAGATGGAATAAAGTAGAGTTAAGAATTCCAAAAAGTGCTTGCTTAATCTCTAGCCCTATTTGGGCAACTTCTGTTGAGAACTACTTTGAAGTTAATTGTAAACCTGTCAGTGTTGACAGAAATGGGGATAGAGGACTGAGGGGCATCTTTAGAATGAGTTCCTGTCCAGTCATGCACTTCCTTCTGTATGAGTGTACTGGAATATACTCTGGGGTGTTCTGGGAGACATTTTTCAGCATCTGCTTTACATTCTGATAATTTTGACCATGGGCATTTTAAAGAAATAAAAAGCCTTTAGTTTTGAATTTGCTTAGTTGAGCAGAAATCTTACAGAACTTTTGATGAATGCTAATAACTTTATTTTTCAGGGACTAAGGCATCAAGAAACTTGAAGGGAAAATAATGTTGAGATTCTGAAGTAGGGCAGTATTTATGGACAATTATTGCTCTCATGGAGTATTTTTTTAACAAAAAATGCAATGATATTTAATTGCTTCTCTTTGTATAGATGGGCTGTCTCTACAGCACGGTAATTTTATGAGGGATAGAAAGGAAAGGTAAAGTCAGTGAACTCTCGGAGAGTGTGTGCGTGTGCTCATGTGAGAAGTGGTGGTAGAAATGAATCCTTAAACTAAAAATCGCACTATTCTGATTAAATATCTTTCCTGTTTATAATAATAATGGTTATTAACATTAATTCTGGTATCCAAGGAATTTGTTGAAAAACTTTCATAGACCAGAAGTGGTGAAAGACTCTCAAGGGAGTAGCAGTCTTGTAGTTGCTGCTCTTAAGTTACTGGTGCTCTACTGTTCCAAATCAGACCTAGCAATAAGGATTACTTGGGAAGAAGCTCCATGAAAAGTTACTTGGCTGGAGCTTCATGTCATCTTTTACCATGTGCAATATTACAGTGGAATCTGTACCCTAAAAGACCATTAATAATGGAAAAGCCATTATAGCAAAGTGTTTGAGACAGCTGGGGAGTTTGGACTGGATTTTACTCTTAGCTTGCTATTGAGTTCTTAAATCAATGACCTGTTGGGATGGTAATAACGATCACATTTTGTAACACACACGGATGTATTCCTATGAAGTGTATTAAAAGCACAAAAAATTTCTCGAAGAATTTTCTCTGGATGTAATATAATCAGGTAGGAGCAAGAAGCTATTTAGGTTTTTAGTGCTTTAGTGCTACACAGAAGTAAAGAATTGCTGTTTGCTGCCTGTGTCTCTTAGAAAGGACAGGTGATGATGGAATAGTCAGCAGATCCTTTAATCCACATGACCCAAGAAGGTATGTCTGTGTAGTGCAGAATGCTGCTATATATGTGGCACTGTATTTAGCTCTGCCTTAGGCATAGCCTTGGAATTGCAGCTGCACTGTTCTATATATTGATACTTAAATCTTCAGCATACAACAGAGAATCTGTATTTTTTGTATTCAGCCCATTTAGCTGTTTGTTCTGCCACGTTAAATAGTATATTTTGCTCTTGAGAGAGAGAGCCCTGAACAGGGAAGTTGAAAGTACTTACATAGAAACCACTGTGTTACACGGATGTAAGTATGTACACACTGTTTGTTATTTATATGGAAAATATTGTAGGGTTGGTTTGGGGTTTTTTGATAGTATGCCCCTTATGTAGTGGGGGAGGCCAATGACCATTGTAAATGAAAGTATAAAACTCGAGGGATACTCGAGCTATGTAACAGCTGTTCTTAAGTGACACTAAAGGCTGCTGCAGGACAGACTGCATCCACTGTACTCAGCTGAAAAGCAGCTCTGGGTATATTCATGTAAAAGGGTAAGATTCCTTTCTCTTTTCCATCCTTCCACAATGTGTGTATGGTGAGGGCGACATGACACCCAGAATCTGTATATTGCAGCTTCACTGATTCTATTTTTCTGAATAAAAAATAAAAAATTGCTTACAATCAATTACTAAACCAGTCCAAAGCAGATAGTTCTTACCCTAGGAAAAGATATTCTAAACATGTACTCAGAAGTCACTTCTACAATCACTAGTAACTTAAGATTATTTATGCTTATGTGTATTTTTTAATAAGTACAAGTACTGATAAGTTTATTTCTAGTGTACAAGGGGAAAGTACTAATCCAGAAGAAACACTGATACATTTCTCATTTTTCTTTGACAGAAGGCTTGGTCCAAGGGTTGAATGAATTCAACATGCAGTTTGGTGCACAGAAAAGGATGCTCGTTGCAGACCTTGTTTATTGCACTTCTATCCAGCAGGTATGTGTTTAGGGTTTATATAAGCAAGACACTAGACAAAAATTTCTAGAAATAACTAACTAAACTGTCTGGTGTTTAGACTTTAAATTTCATCTTCCAAAAACAGCTCATGAGCTGAGTCAGGCTCAGGCTTCAAACCTACTTGGTCCTCCAGACTTTCTAATTCTTTACGTACTTCCTGAATGACACTGCTTTCTTCATAATCAGAAAGAATATCTCTGGGTATCAGGCTGAGAAATGGCATCTCATCCATGATTAAAGGATCTTCTTTTTCATTATTCTTGGTCTCATTGGCAGACAGTTCACACACAGATGTAGTGCTGTGGCTGTTGGGAAAAAAAGACTCATCTGGTCATACAGTGTATCTTTTCATGTTTTCCTAGTTCCTGAAATTCTTCATTCCCTCCCCACATGAAAGCATGTTAAACCCATAATATTGTCAGATCTACCTTAGCTGACTTCATAAACATCTGATTTTTACAATGCTTGACAGCTGGAGAGTTAAAGATGCAATTTCCATATGCAGATGGCAAAAAATGTTTCATACCGGGACACCAGATGGCAGTGGACCTCTGCACAATCTGGCCCTTCTACCTACAAGCAATCATAGTCACTAGTCCTTCCTGTTCGTGGCCAAGTGAAGAAACACGATACTCCAGTTTAAAAGGAATGCAGAAAACTGTATTCTGTAGTTGGTTCCGAACAGGATCGTGTGACAGCTGTATTTGCTGCTGTCTTTGTTTTGAAAAGTGGCTTCAGTTGCCTGCAAATAAACATCCCACATTTTTTTTCGTAGGAACTTTAAAAGGGAGCAAGAATTATTTATATTTGCTGATGGGAGGCAGGGGAATAGAACTTGATCATGGTGCATCTGCTGTCTGCACTGCTTGGGACAGAATAGGGCTACAGGTCCCTGTGACAGAGTGCAAGGTGACCACTGCTTGTGCCTCAACAACTGCTTAAAGCTGGAGCTTCTTTCACTGGTAAAGGAACAAAAAATGCTCCTGAAGCTTATTTTATGTATGTTTTAAATTCTTGTATGTTTTACTTTCTAGGAGTTTTTAAGATTTCCATTTGTGAGCAAACTATCCTCATATTCTGTAAGATATAATCTGATAGTTTCAGTGTTTATCACTCACTAGCAATATTTAACCAAGGGCCATTTCAAGCAGAGATGAGGTGTTCTTTTAATAAAAAATGTTATCCGAATTTTCAAATTCATCATATAAATTCACAGAAGCAGCTTTATCTTACTGTCCATGTGAGTTGTGGGCAGGTGGTATGCACAGTATCACTGTATTTGTGATAACCCTAAACAGATACGTCATTCTTATGACTGCAGCTGGACAGCCCAGTTATATTCACCCCCTAACCCAATTCTGTGTTTTCTATATTCTGATCTGAATTGCTTTCCTTCTTACTAGACATGATATTTGCTGCCTTACCTTCCCTGAAGTTAATGGTACTTGCACATTAACTAAAATTTTGGTGCTGAAAGGATGTGATCCACTCTACTTGCTTCCTTAGATGAAATTTATGAAACAAAATGTTGGCTAATTACTTTTCATGCATGAAAAAAATGCAGAAACAAAGTTGGACACAGAGGAAGAGAGAAATGTTAATCTACATCTCTATCACAGCTATGTTGTCTCATTGAAAGTTAGTATAATGAAAATGGTAGTGTAGGAACAAACTTGGAGAGCTTATTTCATAGATAACATATAAGTCTTCTAAAAATGCAAGTGAAGGTTTTGCCAAATTCAATTAGTCACATCTCTGTGAGACAAAGCAGTAAGTTTGAGCAAGTTTCAGTGCTACTGATGAGAAAAGCTGTTAAAAGGCTTTCTAGTGTGGATGGATCTGCAAATTCTGCATCGCAGGAAGAGACCCTTCAAAAATTTCAAGCAGCTTGCTTGCCCAATTTTGATATTTACCTCTGAGGTTGGCAGATCAAGCCACTGGCACATGGGCATCGCTCAAGTACTCCATCAGGTTCCAGCTCCCAGGTGATCAGGTTGAGAAGTCTGTTTGAAGGATCATGGCAGGGTTCACCTTCTTCAGGTAATGGAGTGCACACCGGAAACAGTAGTTCTGCATGCCAGAGTAAATTAATTTTATTAGAAGTTAAGTCTGTACACGAGATATAAATAGACAGACTTGACCTCCTTTAAGTCCCCTTACATGTTAGGGAGCCATAACTTAGATGTTCTTTCCACTAGGTGGGAGTAAGACATTTGAAGTTTATGCTAAATGAGCAAGATCAACTCCCGATTCTTCACTGTCTCCATCCCTTGGAGATTTTTGAAAGACTTGTAAAACCAAGAAAACAACCATTACAGTGAATCCTTTGCAGTGCATAGCATTAATGGTTTAAAATCTGAACAGAGAAGTATCGCTGTATTTTAGAACTCTTATTTTTCCTGTTTCTTCACAGAGGTTACAGTTGTTCAGAGACAAAATAATGAGGTTACAAGAACTATTACTCAGGCATTTAATTTATTATAGTAATTCTATAATAGGCAAAGCTGTCTGATGGCATGTGGGGCTTGGCACCCTTGTTTCTGCTCAGGAGTGAATTTCAACTTGTGTAAGAAATTATTTAGAAGGATCTGTCGTTGGGTTTCCTGATGCTAGAGTTCAGAATTTAAGGTATTAAAACAGGCTTGGTCAAAATATCTTATGTGTGTGTGTGTATACACAGACACAGATGTATGCTTTAATGTATATGACTTACCTTACCAGTTTCTAATTCCAAAACAGATTATATTTTAAACAGCAAATACTCCACAGTTTCCTACAGTATTATATAAAAATATATACATGTAAAGACAGTCCAGACTTTCTTAGGAAAACCTTTTGCAATAATCTAGTGATGGAGAAAGGCCTTGATGTTAGGCCTAACCTGAAAAACCCTGCTAAAGCAGACAGCCATAGAGAATGAAAATCCATTGCTACTAATCAATAGCTCTATTTAAAGTTTTAATTATAGTCAACATTCTGATCCTACTGTTTTGTTCCTTCCTGAGTTACAGGTTTGTACTAAATTTCATTTCAAGCCAAGCACTAACTTATACTCAAATTAGTGTGAATGTCTTACACAGCTGAAATCATCATCATGAAGACACAGCTTGTTTGGGTCCCGTAGGAAATCGGGGCTACGAAAGCAGTGTTACCCTCACAGTAGAACAGTCTGGTGCTACTATGACCAGTGGGATGCATACTGCTAATTTACTCATCTCTGCAGCATAAGCAGATTCAAAGACCTGCACAATGAAAGTAATAGGCATTTATTAAGTGCTCTTTCTGTCTCATTTCGGAATCAAAGAAATCTCTGATAGAGCTTGGTAAAACCTGTACGTGCCTTAGGCAGAAACCCGATGAAGGGAAAATAAAACTGCTCTAAGCAAAACTTGGTGAAACTGAACTTCCTTAACACTGAAGGTCCACTAAGAAGTGCTGAAAATTAAAAGGAAAAACTCAGCAGACCCACTTGCCTTTAAATGGTGTTTGAGCTTTCTCCTGTTTTCCTGACACGGCCGAGCAGCCTGATCCAGCGGGAGGCTGAAGGTGGGACAGGCAGCCCAACTATCAGTGAAGGTACGAGGTCACCTCTTGCTCATAGCAACAGCCAGGAAAAAGGAGCTATCTAGAGGTATCTACCTGGTGTAGAAAGATGTGGAATTGTATCCTGCCACTACAAAATGAAGGTGAACTATGCTAAAAGTAGTGAGGAATTAGTGGGTATAAAACAGCAGAAGCTGGGCCCTGACCAGGCAGGATTTAGGACTGTTTTCAGGCCTGATACCTTCTCCTCCCACGTGGACTGACAACATAATCTGGAGCATCATTTTTCTACCTGTCTTGGCTGTCCGGTCAGTATTGCACAGTGTAGTGCCCTGGAAGGCTCATATAAAACTCAAGAGTATGAAACATATCTGCAGTTTGATTCTGATGGTCTGCCTGCTGATATGAAGGAGAAACCACTTTCAGTAATTTCATAAATTTCTTTCATACATTTTTAATTCTCTTATTTTTGCTCTATTGGGTGAAAATCTGACACACAGCTTTGCTACTTTTAAATGGCTGAGACTCTCCTTTAGATAAACAGTAGATTTTTCTGCTTCTCATGCTGGTCTCATCTCCAGTGTGCACTAGGCTTTTCTCTGTGCGCCCCTAATTTGTTTCTAATTCTACTGAAGTCTTGCAAGGAAGTTAATAGGGTGCGCTCCACAGGCCGAGGGAGAATGACCTATTGATTCTGTAGAAATTTAACTACTTCACCTGGGCAAAAGAGCTAAATATTAACACTCCTGTATTATCAAATGAATAGGATAAAAAACAAAACCTTGGTACCTTTCTGAAAAGCACAGCACATTCCAGGGTTGCAGTCAAGTTGGTTCTCACAAATGGTGCCGTTCTCTCCTTTGGAAGTGGATTTCCTGCACTCGCCCCAAACGCAAAGCTGGTCTCCGCAGCATTCGACATCCCGCGAGCAGGGCTTGCAGTGGAAAAGCACACGACAAAGCTGTCACTCTAGCACTGCCTGCGTGTATCCACAGACAGCTGAACACAGGATTATGAAGACAACTGCATATATGCTCTTTAAATATCTGCATTCCCCGAGCATTAAACATTCCCACTGTTTAAACAGAACTGCTGAGGCTCTCAGCTCCAAGCACACATTGAACTGTTTGCCAGACAGGAACCTCCGCAGCAGAGTAACAGCACTTTCTGTACTATGATACTTTCAATCTTACAAAACCTGAATTCTTATTTTAGCATTTACATGAAAACTGAGCAGCAGCCAGACATCCGACAGTGTAATATGGATTTCAGGATAGTCTTTTGCAATCAAGGAAACAAAAAATTCATAAATTAAACATTAACAATGGAAAACATTACTATTTTTTTTTCCATTGTTAAATGCAGTCAGGAATTAACATTTTGTTCAGAAAGATTGCTTTCAAAGAGGAAAGCCAAAAATCTTACTAAAATTCAATTTTTAGTGTAATAAGAACCAGACTCTGAAAAAATATCTTTGAAAAAAATTTCTCTTTGAAAATCAAAAATGCAAATCTCTAGCTAAAGACAGCTTTGTATGACAATTGTCTCCGTGTTTCAAATATACACACCTAATAAATCAACATAATAAAAGTGGTGTGTCATTTTGTTTCTTGTTTTAGGTAGTTTGATTAACATCTTAAAGATTCCTAGTAGGCATCTCATTCAGGACTTACTGTATGCTGGGTTTTACAGAGCTGGCACTTGTATTCAAAGGTGGAGAACTGGCAATATTTCCCTGTTTCACAGTCTTCGTCAATGATACACTCCTGAAGAAAAGGATAAAGGTGTAATTTGCCACTGTGTGACAGAAATCCATACCTTGAAGCTATTTCTTATTTATGAACCAAGGAAAAAGGTTTGCTTTGGTTCTTCGTGTAACCACTGCTCTGTAACAGAACAATGCTATCTCCCTGGCATGCCTAAATACTGCGGCCTCACAGTGTTAGGTGGCTTCACTTCTTGTATAAATATTAATACCAGCAACCTCAAGAAAATAAATTCTCTTGTTCTGCAGGTGTATTGGGTTTGTGTGGCAAGGTTTTGGTAGCAGTGGGGCTACAGAGGTGGCTTCTGTGAGAAGCTACTAGAAGCTTCCCCTGTGTCTGACAGAGACAATGGCAGCCGGCTCCAAGACAGACCTGCTGCTGGCCAAGGCCAAGCCTGTGAGTGATGGTGGTAGCACCTCTGGGATAACAGATTTAAGAAAAAGGAAAAAAAAACAACCTGTGCAACAGCAATTGCAGCCAGAGACAGGAGCGAGAAGATGTGAGAGAAAACTCTGCAGACACCAAGGTCAGTGAAGAAGGAGGAGGAGGTGCTCCAGGCACCAGAGCAGAGATTCCCTTGTAGCCCATGATGAAGACCATGGTGAGGCAGGCTGTCCCCATGCAGCCCATGGTGGAGCAGGGGAAGAGTGTGACCCAACGGCAGAATAACTCATAGCACTATTCTGCGTCACTTGTATTTCATCATTGGTTTGCATCATCGTAAGTTTAATGCTACCTTTTTGTTATTAGTCAATTTAAAAAAAAAAAAAAAAAGAAAAAGGAATTATATAAAAAAAAATCCCTGAATTCTCTGAAGAAACCACTCAACTGCTCTTTGGCAGATGGTAATCTCATTTGCTGGAGGAGATAAACTATCATCTGTGCAACCTTTATTGAAAGTTTCTACCAGGCTTTTACTTTCCTTTTTCTACTTTTTTAGATCATTTCTCCCCAAACTGCTGACTTCGTCCACCTCATCCCAGTTGGGTTTTGTGTTTCAGCTGGGCTGAAAATTATCTCAGCAAGAAGTTTAACTGAAGCTCTTAAAATACTATAATCACTGAAAGAGGAAAAGATTACATTGTGAAAGAGCTATACTGTCTTCAGATCTTCTCCAGGTTAAACCTTATGGAAGGCTCTTGCCCTGAGTGAGACAAGGCTGCTCTGCATGGAGAGCAATGCCTCATCTAACTTACCTATTCTGGCCATCTGAGATGTTCTCAAGCAGTTTGATTACCCAGAACATAGAACAGAAGCCAAACACAGTCTGGGGCCCGATTCTTTTCAAGTCAATGACATGATAATCAGGTTATACATTGATAATTAAGAAGCAGTCATTTCAGCTATTTTGAGACATTAGTGTCACCAGGTCTAGGCAGCTATAAATGATCATAATGTTTTTACAGCTTCATTATTCCCATACAGCATGTGTTTTGCTTATTTGCTTTTGTGTTGCTACATAATCAGGTGGGTCAAAATCCAAATGTTATATAGTATGTTTGAGGTTTTGTGGTTCCAAGTTAGCAGTCAGCCACTTCTCTTCAGCAGCCACGCTCCTTCTGGCCAATTTTCTGTCTGTAGCTTTCTCAGCTTCTTTTATGAATTCTTCTGCATAAACCATACTCAGAATAAACTATACTGTTTCATTCTGTTCCATCTGCTTTCAGGCAAACAGCCAGGTCTTAGTGTAGTCAGTTTTTCCAGTTGTCCCTTTCTATAGAGGAGAAATCTTGCCATAATCCTTTTTAACCTCATAGAACTCCCTAGGGCTCTAAAACCACCTAAGTAGCAATTCTCCAGTCCCTGCTTTTTCTTGCACTAATGAGTCCCCCGCCAATAAACTTTTTCCCCTCTTACTGAATTGTGTCCCACCAGCTCAGACTTCCAGTTTTATGAGGGTTTTCAGTTGAGGAAAAAATTCTTTCATGGTTTTCTTTCCTGGCATGGAAAAGATTGCTTTCATATGCTCTCTGTGAAATTTTGTGCCACACTCCAAACCAACTTCCCGCACCCAGGTATTATAATCCATAGTCAAGGCAGAACTCAGTAATGCTTATACATGTATATATGTAACCATTAATCTTTCCCCTCCACTCCCCCTTATTCAGGCTACAGAGGCTACAGACTTTTTCTAATCAAGCTACCTTGAGACACAACAGTTGTTAGACAAGGAGCAAACCTAAACCTCTTCATCAACTGCAATGGATTCTGAACAATCCATTTTCTTCTGGAATTCTGCAGACTAAATTATGTCTCAGACTATTTTGTCTTTGCAGGAGCAACAATGTGTAAACTGAGGAGAGAGGATGCTGGCTTCTGACATGCAGCAGAGCATAAAAGTTGAGCAGATCACTTAAAGACAGAATTAGCTACACTTGTAATGGTGTACTTCTCTCTGAAATCCATTACGATGTTATACCAGTTAATTTAACGTAGCAGCAAAGGAATATGCTGTTTGAGAAGTGCTACAGAATAAAGCAGCATGAAAGCAGGACTGCCTATTTATAAATGAGTATACTAGGACCGCTAAACAACAGAAGCCAGGATGGAGAAGAGCATGCCATGTACCTCTAAGTATATACTCAGCATCCTGTGGGCTCTTACTGTAATATTGTACTCTGCAGTGAATATCCTGCAACACCTGAAAGCAATTTGGGGGTTAGGACCTGTTCCAAAACCAACAGGAAAAAAAACACTCAACAAAACACTGAAACTCGTGGAAAAGATTCTCCATATTGTAAGACTGATACAACAACTGCTGCTGAAAGAAACTTCAATTTTCTTGTCTTTGGCAGATTATGGCAACCTATTGTTTACTTTCCTGAAGAATGAGAATAAAAAAGTGACTGATGGAGTGACAGTGAAGTGTGGTAGTACCACAACCACCAGAACAGTGAAACGGATGTCTGAGTGTGAGACAGCGCAGGAGCGGGCAGGTCAGAACTGGTGTAACAGGTTTTGACAAGAGTACTTTCCTCCTGGCTAAATGTTTACATATACATGGAAAGGCACAGAGGAAGAAAAGTTTTCTTTCAATGTGACAGGACAATCTTCACACTCCAGCCAATAGCACTCCTTTGACCTAGAAGGTGCTATGGGCTATTTTGGCAGAGTGTACTTGAATGGCAGAGTGTGGCCAACAGTGGTGTGGACCACGTTATCCTTTGCCTGTATAACACACTAAGGACAGGGGGAGAAACAAAGAATTTTTCAGTTCACATTCAGAAAGCAGATCTACAAGGCCAGAGTTAACCTACTTTCACACAGAAACCACTGTTGTTTGCAGTGTTCATCTGGTTTCTGTACCTCACTATGGTAATATTTTTAATGCTGTTTCACTGGTGATATAGTATGTACTGAATTCATGCTCATTTTGCTTTGCTCTTTTTCCCCTCAGTTCCTAATTAACACTCTAAATGTAGACTGGAAAATATGCTCAAGTCTATTCTGATACTGACTTTCAAAATGGAATCATTGATTTTAAATTCAGAACTGACATTTCATTTGCCTGTTCCCTCTCCCTACTCATGCTCACCCACATTCTCTAAAAGTCCTTCCTCAAAGATAATTTTAAACAAAACTGTCTCCTCACTATTCAGATCTTTAGCCAATACTTGTCAGGGACAGGCAAATGACTGTCTGAAATGAGCATTCCTTTCCTTCTGGGCTCTTCACACTTTAGCTTAGAACCCAAGAAAGCAGAGGAAGGTGCTGTTGATGACTTTATATCGTGATTCAGTGGTGATTAATGCATTTACCAAAGCCAGACACTGAACACTAAGGGGGAGGAGGGAGCATATGGAACAGAAAGTGCCCTTGTGGGTAAGGGGCAGCTGTAGGGGAGAAACTCAGTAGCAGTTGTCTGCCAAGGTCATTGACTGCTCTGACTGAGAACAGGAAGTAGGATTCAAATGGGAGAACCCCTTTTCCCCTCCTTTTGTAAGCTATAGGGCTTAGTTTGCTGGCTTATTCTGATCCAGTTGCAGTTTGTGACTACAAAGCTTTTGAAACTGTCCAAAAGCTGAAGGAAAGGCGGGGGGGGGGGGTTTGCCTTGGCACTGTCTGTACAGCTGTAAGCCAAAACAGCCATTCCAAAGTGTTCATTCCTAACGCTCTGTGGATTTCAAGTTCACAAGCCATAAAGTATAAAGGGAAAATTCACTTATTTCAGAGAGGTGAGGAAGTTTTGCCAGGAGGTACACAACACAGGAAGCGATGCTACAAAAGCAGTTGGTGTGACAATTAGAAAATGATTTTTAGTAACAAACTTGGAAATGCACAGGGTCACCTCTTGCAGTCTACTGGGCCAACTATGCTTCCAAAACTTTTCTGAACAAAAAGCCCCTTTACATGTTTCTTAAAAGCTCCTGATATAAAGAAATTTCCTTTTTAAAAACCTGTAACTCAAGTAAAACTCAATGTTAGCCTCCATAAATGGTAGCTACAGATCCTTCCTAAAGAGTTCCAGAGCTCACCCGACTGTATCTGTGAGATGATAATTTCAGCCATTGCTGAAGCGCTCCAACAAAACCCCTTGTTCATGTTGAAACATTTCTTAGCTATTAGCACTTCTAAGAGTTAAGGTTTACTTCTGTGTTTACATATCAGCTTCTAGGTTTTGTTTTAATTTCTATAAGTTATTTCACGTAGGTCTGGTCTCCATTACTACAGCACACAGCAAAAAGTGCTGAGTAGCTGTCCTAGTTTTGGCTGGAATAAGGTTAATTTTCTTTCTAGTAGCTGGTATAGTGCTGTGTTTTGGATTTAGGATGAGAATAATGTTGATAACACACTGATGTTTTATTTGTTGCTAAGCAGTGTTTACACTAAGTCAAGGACTTTTCAGCCTCTCATACTGCCCTGTCAGCGAGGCTGGGGGTGCACAAGAAGCTGGAGGGGCACACAGCAAGGACAGCCGACCCAAAGGAACATTCCATACCACATGGTGTCTTGCCCAGTATAGAAAATGGGGGAAGTTGGCCAGAGGACACCACAGCTCA